TCTTTCTCTCCCTTTCCCTTTCTCTTCCCCTTCTCCATTTTTCCTTCCTCCTTCTTCCTCCTCCTCCTTCCTCTTCCTTCTTCTCTCCTTCTCTTTAAAGAAAGAAAGAAAGAAAGAAAGAAAGAAAGAAAGAGAAAGAAAGAAAGAAAGAGAAAGAAAGAAAGAAAGAGGAAGGAAGGAAGGAAGGAAGGAAGGGAGGGAGGGAGGGAGGAGAGGGAAGGAAGGAGTTTAAGTGAAACTCTGATGGATGACTTCTTTTTTCCCACTGTCTCTGTGTCTGATTCATTGAGAATGTAGGCTCTGTTGTGGGGCTTGGACTCCAAATTTTTCAGAAGATCTGCCAAATCTCAAAGTCTACTATTGGCTTGCTAGAATTTGGATACGGTTTGTTTGCCTCCAGCAAATCTCATATTGAAATTTGATCCCAATGTGGGAAGTGGGCCTAGTGTGAGAACTTTGTGTCCTGGGGGTGGATCCCTCTTGAATAGATTAATGCCCCTCCCTTGCGGGTAAGTGCATTCTCACCCTATCAGTTCCCAGGAGAGCTCATTGCTAAAAACATCCTGGCACCTCCCTCCTCTGTCCTACTCACTCTCTCACCATGTGATCCCTGAATAAGCCAGCTCCCCTTTACTGTCCACCTTGAGTGGAAGCAGCCCGGAGCCCTAACCATATGCAGATGCCTAATCATGAACTGTCCAGCCATCAGAAATATGAGCCAAATAAATCTTTTTCTATAAATTATGCAGCCTCAGATACTCCTTTATAACCACACAAAATGGACTCAGATGCTGCCTTGTCAACCACTTTCTCTTGCCATGTTATCTGGGTAAGCAGCTTGTCCTGGAGCCAAATAGATCAGGACAAAGAAAACCAAATGAGAATATCCTCCTGTTTCTATGAACCAGAGTAGGTGAACTGTGCGGGGGCTGGGCGGGGAAGGAAAATTTTATTTTGTTTTAGATTCTTGATACAGGTGATAGAGTCAGTGCTCAACATGAACTGTCCCTGATGGAAGCTAAGCTAAGGTAGTAGATTTCTGTGAGGTAAGGGCCTAGACTCTGTAGAGGATTATCAGGAGAATGGCCATCTCCTATCATTTTAATTCTACTTGAACTTTGTACTCAAGAAGCTACTCATGCAAAGAACATCTCACAGTGGTGCTTCAACCCAAGGTGAGCTGAGAGGGACAATACCAAGGCATGCAGAGGCCCTTATGCACTGTTGGTGCATTTTGGTTTTGGGAGTTTTTTGTTGTTTGTTTGTTTTCATTTTCTATTGATGCTGTTGGATGTTTGCTATCTCTTTGACTTTCAACCCCTTAGGAATTAAATCAACATTGTCTTACAATGTTGACAATGTTACGATTTAACAGCCCACGGCCTGTGCGGCTGAGGATATGTTTACTCTTGCAAGTTCCAGTAAGACTATTATCCTTTTAAAGGAAAAAATTAAGTTTGTGCATTGGTTTCATGATTTCTCCCCAAATTTTTGCTTCCCCACCGATTGATTCTCCTCTAATTCCATTACTAAAACATCAATTTTTTTGTTTGTTTGTTTAAGGGAACTTCCTATAAAAATGTAAGATTCCAGGGAGGAGTATGCTGTTATATATTTTAGCCATTTTGACTTGCTTTGCTTTCTACGAGCTGAAGAACAGGATTTCATTAGTTGAAAAAAAGAGAAATGAGATATTCGGCTCTACCAAGGAAGAAGCAGAAGAGGGCAGTCAGAGTGGTGGATATCGTCAGTTACAAAAATCTATCTCTTATGACCCAACGAGAATGAAAATATAGATATCTAAGAGGGTTGGTGCAACCAAACCTCTAATATACTATGTAGGGTATTACTCCCAAGAAAACAGAACATGCTTAAGATATATCCTCAAGTTCAAGTCATGAATACCATTATAAATTTTGTTTTATTTTGTTTCAAATCACTGTACACAATGTTTTAGACCCATTAAAACAGAACAGTATCCATAACAACCAATACTTACTGAGCTAGGTTCTTCTAGTAAGTTACCTTCTAGGAATAGATCCATGTACTCTGAGAATTCTCATTAATTCTTTTAGACCATGAGGGTCTCATTACATGAATTTCCAACTCAATATATTAAACAGTACCCAGGTGGCTTTATAAAATACTCAACCACTCATACAAGACAGTATGTTGTCCTAGGAGAATCTGTCTTGTTGATCATTTACCTTGTGTCACACATTATACCAAAACTGGCATTGCATAATTTTAGATGCTTGCATTACGTTAAAGTCTCATAACCAAACTAAAATACAAAATATTCACACCTACTCACACATGCACATACAACACACAGGCACATATTGAAAATACTTTTTCATATTCCTTCAAATATCATCTCCAGATATAAACAAAGCAGGAAACTGCATCATTCTAAACAAAACAAAAATTTAAAAACTTATCATTTCCTTATCCTCACATTCTCCCATTCCGGCACATATTTAAACCAAAGCATTTAACCTTTGTACGTCAATAGACTGTATACCGCATTTTCATGGAAGTACCCATACAGCCTGTACTACTTTCCTTTTCTTTGCAGTTCACTTAAGAGCCTACCATCAATTTTTTGTGGTAGCACATTCACAGTAACAGAATGTAGTAGAGAAAGTCTCTGCCTAGAGATGCTTTCTTTTTTGCCAGTGTCAGACCTACTACACAAGCTCTTTGAATTGTGCAACCCTGCATAAGCATTTGCTGCTATTAATTAACTGTGGAATCTGCCCTTAACTCCTTTCTGTAATGCATTTTTCTCTCCATTTCCTTGCTCTCTTTTCCACTCTCAGGTGAGTTTGTTTTGATGTAATCCCTTTTTTCCCATTTTCCCATTCTTTCCCTCCTGAAAATGTGGTCCATTCTTTTGCTGAAAAATAAAATTACCAACTAGCATACAAATATATGGCCATGTATGTTCTAAAGGAACAGCTGCAAAATTGCTAATATTAGGTCTAATTTAGCGACAATAAATTAGCAAATGTGTGGAAGCACAATGATGACAGCATAATTATAACAAAAGTCGATGTGTTGAAGTATATGGATGACAATACGTACTAATTTTAGAAGAAAAGAACCCTAAACCAAATGAAATGCATGTGACGAACAGACGGGACTAATAGCTCAGACACATACACTTAATGTGGCCAGTCACTGTAAAAACAAAAAGATAGATGAAGCTGTTCAAAAATCTAGCTAACAAGCAATGTAGTCTGAAACCATTAACTGTCAGGGGTAATAACACTCAAAGTGCTGAAGTGCAGTAAAGCAACTGCACTTCCCTGGGATGGAGGCTGTTGTACCAGTGCACACCTGTGAAGAGGGCGCTAAATCTATCCTTGCATTCATTATAACAGAGAGAGGAAAAACAACACTAATAATGTAAAGTATAAACGGAAATAGCAGACAGCAGAGAGTGACATTTGCATGGTCCCAGTCAGCTTGTTAGCTGAAGTGGGTTTTAATTAGCTATTTTCCAGCAAGCAAACGAGCAAATTAGTGGCAGCTATAAACAAAAAGAGACAATCAGGCCCAAAGAAAAGGAGAAAAGATCAGGGTGTCTTTGCAGGGAGTGGAAAGGAGAGGGTGAGGAAATACAAAGGTTTTACTTGAGACTTTTCTCCATCACAGAATTAATGTTTCCTTTTGAAAATTCCTTAGAGATGATCCAGTCCTTTCTTCTTCTGCAGGTAAGGAGACTGAGGTCCACAGAGGTTAGCTAATTTGTCCCAGGTTACACATCACATCTAAACATAGCTATTAAAAGGGACATGGTACATCTCCAAGTCTAGTTTTCTTTAAGAAAATTGTTTTTGAAATATTTTGAGTGGATCAATTCCTTAAAAATACAAATTGAAATATTTTGAGCGAATCAACTCCTTAAAAATACAAAGAATTGTGAAACCATGTGCAAAACATACATGATAATTTAGGGATACAACTGGTTATAATTTGGAGTCCAACTATGATGAGAGTTAAAACAAAATGAGAAATAATATTACAAATAGCATACTAACACCTTCATACAGCCAAACGTACCTTTTGATAAACTCTAAACGAACACTCATCATGTAGTCAATGAGTGCCTATTATGTAGGAGGCACAGGATTAAACCTAAGAATATAACCTTTGGTGTTTGGTAGATGTGCAGACAAGTAAAAAGACATTACACAACAATGGGATGCAAACCTTGATGCAACAGGAGACAGTGCTGAGGAGCCCTCCAGAGATGCTGCTAAGCTCATGGAGAAAGTCACAACGAGGCAAGCTTTTGAGAGGAAGGGCCATCAAAGCAGGATATGAAGCATGCCCAAGAGAAGCCAGCTCTCTCCCAACTCCACAGCAAGCAAGCATCTGTGTGCTCAAGGCTGTCATGTCTGTAAAAAGAAAATTCCAAAAACTAGTTATCCCACTGAACTAGATAAGAGGACCCCCAAACGCTCAAACACAAAGAAGCTCTTTATATAGTTTTCATTATCTAATTTCATCTAATTTACAACCTGACATATGTTCTTTAAAAAGAATAAAGTAATTGGGATAAAGGGAAAATCTCAGAGCAGGGGATAACAGAAGTCAATAGACTTATCCCTTTCTATCCTAAATTTGACTGATATATTAAGAAGATTTAAGCAGATTAAAGTATGAGATAACACAAGTAGAATACAGAGGGGGGAAAAAAAACAGCCAGGACAACAGACTGAAGCAAATATTACCACAAATGTTTGTCACTGCTATAGATAATGAACACAAGGACAGTTCATATGAAAGGGACCAAGAAACTAGGGGCTATATTTACCGAGAGGCATCAATATCATTATCTTCATAGTTTGCATGTATAGAATTATGATTATGTGAAGATTCTGCGTAGGGCAGAAAATTGGTCCTGCATATGACTTCACCATCCACAGAATGGCTTCAAATATGAGACAGATAAAAAAAGATGGATAGATACAGGAAAATGAAAAAAGTAGCTGTCCTCTCTCAGCTAAATGAGATGAATATATAGTGCCATTAATTGTTAATTCATCCAACAAACATTTATGGAGCTCCTACTATATATAAAGCATTGGATTAGACCCTGGGCATATAGACATTAAAGATGATTCATGGATGTCTGATTTCTCTCCCACAGGTCAGATCTTTAAACAGTAGAAGAGATGCTTCTCTAATTCTTCTTTTCCTGATGCTAAATGACCATATTTAGTTCATTTTTTTCATATAATATTTCCAAATGTATCCAACCTCCTTTTTCTAGTCTTCAGAAGATTGTTTCTATCCTATCAAAAGCATGATGTTCAAAAATTCACAAGTGGGACCTAACTAACCTAGAGAGCTTCTGCACAGCAAAAGAAGCTATCCATCAACAGACAACCTACAGAATGAGAGGAAATATTTATAATGTCGTTAAAAAATGGGCAAAGGACATGAACAGACATATTTTTCAAAAGAAGACATACAAGCAGCCAACAAACATGAAAAAATGCTCAACATCACTAATCATGAGAGAAATGAAAATTAAAACCACAATGAGATATCATCTTGCACCAGTCAGAATGGCTATTATTAAAATGTCAAAAAAAAAAAAAAAAGATGCTGGTGAGGTTGCAAAGAAAAGCAAATGCTTATACACTGTTGGTAAGAATATAAATTAGTTCAGCTACTGTGGAAAGCAGCTTGGAGATTTCTCAAAGAACTTAAAACAGAGCTACCATTTGACCCAGCAAACCCATTACTGGATACATATTCAAAGGAAAACAGACCATTATACAAAAAAGACATATGCATTTGTGTGTTTATTGCCATGCTATTCACTATAGCAAAAACATGGAATCAACTTAGGTTCCCATAAATAATGGATCAGACATAGAAAATGTGGTACATATACATCGTGGAATACTATGCAGCCATAAAAAAGAATAAAGTTGTATCCTCTTCAGCTACATGAATGCCCATGGAGGGAATAATCCTAAGTGAATCAATGCGAGAACAGAAAATCAAATACCACATGTTATCACTTATAAGTGGGAACAAACCATTGAGCACACATGGACATAAACATGGGAAAAACAGACACTTCAGACTACCAGAGGCGGAAGGTAGGAATGGGGGCAAGGGTTGAAAAACTACTATTGGGTTCCATGCGCACTTCCTGGATGCAATATACCCATGGAACAAACCTACATACATACTCCCTGTGTCTAAAATAAAAGTTGAATTTTTTTATAAAAAGCATAATGTTTAGACACTGTTGTCTGTTTATTATCATTTAAACATAATTATCGCTTTCTTTGGTCTAGTTACTACTTTATTAATCTAACCCCAAATCACATCTGCTTTTTTATCAGCCACACACCATGTTAACTAACCTGGTTTATTGTTAACTAATATCTCTAAAATGTTATCACAAAATAACGTTTCACATTTGAGAATACTCAATTGCAATATCTTAATCCTTTAATACAATTTTGTTACACTTATCCATTTTCTAGCTTATGAAAATTGTGTGGGTCCTGATTCTGTCATCTAATATATTCACGACATCACCCACTACACCAATACTATGTCATCTCCAAATTCATTACAAAACTTTCTACATCTTTATTCAAGTATTGATAAGACTGAGAAAGATAAGGAAAAAATACCCTCCCAGTGTAACATTAGAAACATTCCTTCTGACTTACATAAACCAAGTAGCAATCACTGGGTTATGAAACTATTTTACTTGGATTATGAAATAATTTTATTTGTTTTAGAATCTAGTCCGTACTTCTCCATGTGTTACACTGGGCTCCCCAAGAAGCATGCTGTAAGACTAGGATTTGAAGAAAGGCCGTTTGCTTATGAGGTTTTTTCTCAGAAAGTGCTGGTGGAGGAGAATGGGAAGTTAGGCAGGGAAAGGAAAGAAGGAAACCAACATGGGATGCTCTGTGGAGGGATGAGGAGGAAGCTGAGGTATGGATCCACCGATTCTCCTCTCAATGATTGAGTGCTGTTCACAGGGGTGTGAACTCCCAGGTCTGTACAGGGGCCAAGCACATTTTTGGGGACAGAGAAGTCCTCAGGCAGAAAGCGGCAGGTGCTTGGAGTAATGAGCTATCAGAATGCTGAGTGCTGAGGGGATATGGACAGGGGACCAACATCTGCTACACTGCAGCTCATCCAGTAAGACTGCATGAGACTTCTTTTCAAAAGCCTTGCTCAAATTGAGATACATAATATCAATCCCATTACCCATATTTATTCATCCAATTACATTTTTCAATTCTCCTTGTTGCTAAATATTGTAGATACAATACTATTATCTGGTGCCCTATTAAATGAGTGACCTTGTCCAAAAATGATATGTATCTTGTAACTTAATTTTAATAAGTTCATTCTGAACCCTAATAATTTCTGCTTATTTCCTACCAATCTTTTGACAGTTTGTTGATAATACTCTTTAGAACTGACACATGATAATCTATTAGAAAACTAAAGAATGCTTTTTCTTTATTAATTTTCATAAATCAATTATTACCATTATTAAATTTTATTTTATCTCTAAAGTTTTCAAGACCTTCAGCAGCATTTTTATTTTCAGATTTTTGACAGACTAGATATTTTTCTACGCCAAATAAACAAAGAAACTAAACTTGCTAGGGGATAAACATAACAAACATCCTTTTAAATAAATGTGCAAATGAACATAAGGAACCAGGATGCTAAAACCAGAGTATTTAGCAGGCTGTAAAACGCTGACTTCCTTGGGGCTATTTGTTAATATCAGTAGTCAAGAGAGTTGAATTGTAATGGCATGTGATAGTAATGCTTGGGCTCACACAACTTAGTGACTTGAAACTACCTACTACCAGAATAAATCCAAAACTTCAGGAGGTCACACTCTTAGTCAAAATTTAGCTGGAGAAATATTTTCCTACTAGAAAAAAAAAAAAAGGTAAAAATAACTGTTCTGTCTCATCATGGAATCAATGTGTAAGACAAAAATAATCTCCTCGATAATTTGAAACATGCATGTTTGGGGCTACAATATAGACTGTCAGCATGATCTTAAAAACCCTAAGGCAAGGAATTAATTTAATAGTCCTAGATTCGTAGCACCCCAGGGTCTGGCAGAGGCAATTGTGCATCCTCTCTGGAGAGATGTACCCTTCAACCCAAGTTCAGAGAATTCTCATGGATAAATTATGGACATAAGCTCCCTATTCAAAATTAGAAAATGTACAGACCACCATGAATAAAAAAGAATAGAAACAACAGTAGTATTGGATCTCCTAAAACTTCAAATGTGGAATTACTAATATTGGTATTTATTATTAATATTATTAAAATTAAAACATAAATTAAAAAAGAAAGAGGCAAGTATTTAAAAAGAGATTTGAAAATGTATCAAACAGAACTAGAATTAAGTTAATTACATTTTGAAATAGTTGAATAGATGAGTTAGCACAAGAGATCCAGCTGAAAAAATCATTTGCAAATTGGAAAATGCAGAGGAAGAAATTGGTCAAATAGCAATTTAGAGAGATAAAGAGATGAACAAAATGATAAATATGGTGAATAGAACAAGATGGCCCCCATGTACATTAAATGTTGTAGAAAGAGAGTACACAAAAAATGAGGAAGAGAAAATACAGAGATAATCACTAAAATTTTTGAAGAATTGACAAAAGGCAGATATTCTCATATTTAGAAACACAACAGATCTTGAACAAGATATGTAAAAATGAATTCATACCCACAAGCATCACAGATAATTTGCAAAACATAGAACAGAAGGAGTCTTGGTAGCAATGAAAGAGAATTGGAGTTTACTTTCAAACCAATGACAAAAACCTAGTGACACACTTTTCAAGAAGGAACAATAAAAGCCAGAAGACAGTTGAATAATTTTCAGCTTGCCAATCGCTCTCAACCTAAAATTACATACCAAGCTAAACTCTTACTTAAGAAAGACAACAAAATAAAGAAAAATAACAGAAAATGTACCATTACACAAGCTCTCTTAAGAAACTTCTAAAATCTCCACATCAGAAAAAAGGAAATAGAACCTAGAAGGGAATATTGATGTCTGTGTCGCTGCGAGGCACGGCTCTGGGTGCCACCCTTCACACCCTGCAGTGTGAATGCTGCTGCCTACCACCGTGCCACCTCACAGAATTTTCATAGATGTAAGTACAAGGTGGCAAAAAAATCAGTAACACTTACCTAAATCTCAACAAACATCAACTGTACATTTAAGAAATAAGCACAACAATGACTATGCTTGGGATACAGGAGAAGGTGACCAGGGTGGGTTGTTTTTAAAACAAATATCTAAATTAAAAATGTAAGGCCGGGCGTGGTGGCTCAAGCCTGTAATCCCAGCACTTTTGGAGGC